TTTTAGAGAGAGAAACTATATCAAATTTTAGAGAGAGAAGGCACCTGAAATGTTTTAGAAAAAGACTGTCTTAAATTTTAAAGTTTAGAGAGTGAAAGTATATTTAAATTTTAGAGAGAGGAAGTATTTGAAAAGTTTTAAAGGGAGAAACTATATCAAATTAGAGAGAGAGTAGCTGAATTTTTTTATAGAAACAAACTCTCTCGTAATTTTCAGAGAGAGAAACTATCTCAAAATTTAATTTTTAGAGAGTAGGTACTTCAAATTTTAGAGAGAAACTATACCAAATTTTAGAGAGAGAACGTAGCAAAAAAATCTAGAGAGAAACTATCTCAAAATTTAAGTTTTAGCGAGAAAAAGTATCTTAAAATTTTAGAGAGGAAAACCATATCAAATTTTCGAGAGACAAGTAGCTAAATGTTTTTATAGAGCGAAATGATTTTAAAATTTTGAGACAGAAACTATTTCAAATTTTAAGTTTTAGAGAGACGCTATATCCAATTTTAAAGAGAAAATACATTAAGTTTTAGAGAGATCTTAAAATTTTAGAGAGAAACTACATGAAATTTTAGAGAGAGAAAGTAGTTGAGATTTTAGAGAGTAACAATCTCAAAATTTTTAGGGAGAAATTATATTAAAATTATAGAGAGAGAAACTATATCAAATTTTAAGAAAGAAACTACCTGAATTTTTTAGAGAAAGACTAACTCAAGTTTTGATATTTAGAAAGAGAAAGTATATTAAAATTTTAGAGAGTGAAACTATATAAAATTTTAAGTTTTAGAGAGAGTATATTAAAATTTTAAAAAGAGAAACCAATATAATCAAATTTGCTTCGCTTTGACCGAAGAGGCCGAAGCCTTCGGATTTTAAGCATAAACCGAAGCGAGAGTGTGGTATTGTCGCTTCGGTCAGATTCGGGCTGCTTCGGTCTACTTCGGGTCTGCTTCTGCCGAAGCTCCGGGCTGCATCGGTAGAAAAGAAATACATATATAAAAATATTTTTAAAACTTTTTATTTTAAAAATTTTCCATTATTTTTATATGGTTTATATATAAATATCTAATGTATTTATATTTAATTAAAAAAAAGTCCAAAGTCTTCCCTCGAATTGGCCGAAGCACCGAATTACTTCATTTTTCTCACCAAACAGAAGAAGACTCCGAAGTGAATCTGACAACATTGAGAGAAACTATATTGAGCTTTTGAGAGATAAACTACCTGAAAATTTTTAGAGAGATAAACTATCTCAAAATTTTCTAAAATTTTTATGGAGAGTCTCTTAAATTTTGAGTTTCAGAGAGAGAAAGTACATTAAAATTTTAAAGATTTGAGGAATCCCAGAAAATAATCCTTGATATTAGAAATCCATAGTTTTTTTTATTTCAAACATACAAAATTCCTAATTTCCTCATATCCAAACAGGCCTTTAAATTCTAGAGCATCCCTTCAAAGTTTTAACTTTATGTTGATGCCGCTTTGGGTCTCATCGATCAAAATTATATTGTCTACGAACAATATGCACCATGATACCTCATCTTGTAAGTGCTTTGTTAAGTTGTCCATAATTAAGACGAAGAGGTATGGGCTCAACACTGACCTTTGATGTAAAACCTATTGTCATTGAAAACTTACTCGTATCTCCACTAGTTGGTTATACTCTAGTTAGCTCTCCCTCGTACATATCTCTCACCAAGTCGATATAGTATCTGAAGACTTCTTTCTATTTTAACATGCACCACATTAAATCTCAAGGTAGTGTATCATAAGCTTTCTCTAGATCAATAAGAACCATGTGGAGGTCTTTTACCTTCACCCTGATTTCTCTCGGAAAATGTATTGTAGGTATAATTGGTTAATGTAGCCTAATATAAGCTGAACAGCTGCTTACTCATCTTCGATTATAAATACATGTGGAGAAAGATCTAAGTTCAAATAGGGCTATTTATCTACAACTTTAGCAAGTTATCATCCACAAAACTAAGCGAACTTGAGTAATTCAGCATGCAAGCTAAGAATTTGCTTCAATGCTTAGGAGTCGAGATTTCAAATCTAAAACTGATTGAAATATGTCCTTAAACTCATCATCATCATCATCATAGCTTTTTCCCAATTAATTGGGGTTGGCCACACGAATCATGGTCCGCCATTATGTTCTATTTAAAGCCATACCCTCAATGAGGCCAGAAGTCCCCATATCTTTTCGGTCTACTTTCAACCACATCCTTTTGCGCCTACCCCTTGTCTTTTTCAATCCTTCCCGTTGAACTAACTCGCACCTCTTAACAGGTGTTGTACTGAGTCGATGCCGCACGTAGCCAGCCCACCTAAATCTACTCTCTCTCATCTTATCGTCTATTGGTGCCACACCTAAACTTTCACGAATGGATTCATTTCAGATTTTATTCCTTCTTGTCTTGCCACTCATCCATCTTAACATCCTCATCTTCCCTATGCTCATTTTATGGATATATTGTTTTTTGTCTGCGTAACATTTTGTCCCATAAAGCAAAGCTGGTCTCACAGCTGCTTACCCTTCAGCTTCATTGGTATGTGATGATCATATAAAATTCCAGTTGCACATCTTCACCTCGCCCAATGCTGATCCTTGATATAGACTTATTGTCACTGAAAACTTAATCATCTCTCCATTAGTTGTTTTAGCGTTCCATCATACATATCTCTCACCAAGTCGATGTAGTGTTTGGAGACTCCTTTTTTTTCCAACACCCTGCAAATCAAATCTCGAGGTATTCTATCATAAGGTTTCTCTAGGTCAATAAAGACAATGTGGAGGTCTTCTCCCGTTGCCCTAAACTTCTCAGTTAGTTGCCTAAGTAGGAAAATAGCTTCGATTGTTGACCTTCTTAGCATAAAACCAAATTGGTTTTCAAATACACTCGTTTCATGCCTTAGTCGTTGCTCAATCACTCTCTCTCAAAGCTTTATAGTATAGCTCATAAGCTTGATTCATCGATAGCCTGCACAATTCTATATATTTCGTTTGTTCTTGTAAATAGGTACCGCAATACTTTTCCTCTATTTGTCTGGAATTTTCTTTGTTCTTAGCACCTTGTTGGACAACTTCGTCAGCCTATCAATGCCAATCTCTGCCATGCACTTCCAAACCTCTATCAAGATACCATCTGGTCCTAAAGCCTTTCCTATCTTCATCCTTTTCAAAGCTTCTTTCACTTCTGATATCCTAATCCTACGAATGTATCTATGACCTCCCCCTTATTTATATCAACGGTTCCTTCTATCACTATGTTTCAATTGTGTTCGTCCTTTAATAATTTTTAAAAGAAACTCTCTACCTTTCTTTGATCTCGTCATCCTTCACCAAGATCCTTTGATCTTCATTCTTAATGCATTTAATATAGTTTGGATCTCTAAACACTTTTTCTCTCTTATTTTGTTAATTTGAAGACATCTTTTTCACCTTCTCTTGTTTCCAGTTTATTGTATCGATTATCAAATTTTTGCTAATTTGAAGAAATATGTCTTTAAACTAAATCAACTAAAATAAAATTGATACCAACCAAATTCAAGGCTAGCCTACAACCCAGAGAAAAGAAGATGACATAGAATAGCTTTAAATTAATCTCAATGGCACTCCGACAATGTGTTTTAGGGTTTTGATGTTTATGGTGCTTAAAAATTAAGGTTTTGACTTTTGAGGCAGAATTAGGGTTGGAAACCCAAACCCTAATTCTAAGGAGGACCTATTAAGGTTTGGGGTTTGAAACCCAAACCCTAATTCTAAGGATGACCTATTAAGGTTTGGTGGATTTTTTTATGGGACATATTTGCTATTTGGAAGGTTATGGGAACACAAAAATCCAAAGAAAGAAGACAATTGGGAAACCATTGAAGGAAAGAGAAAAAAATAGAACAAGAAAAAAAGGGTAGAAAGAAGAAGTAACTAGAGGAAAGGAGGAAGAGAAATATGGACTTGGAGTAAAGGGAAGAAGTAAAAAGAAGAAAGGGGAAGGACAAATAAGAGAGCCTGGGCTTAATTGGTTAGCGCTTGACGAATTGCAAGGGTACGTCCTAGGCTCAATTCCTACTAAGGGTAGGGGCCCTCTCCCCACTGACTCACCCAAAAATATGATTACAAATGGTATGAAAAATGGTGATAAATAATATTTTTTCTGAGAATAAGCTGGGGCTTGGCGGTAGTACCAACAAGCCCTATGATGAAGTCTTTGATTCCATTCTCACCAAAGGATAGGAGCCCAAATCCCCACTGACTTACCCCTTTTTTTTTAGCTTTTTCTAGTTCCTTTCCCTCCCTCCCTCCCTCCTCCCAAAAAAAAACAAAACTTTCTCAAAAATCAATCACCTAGGGCTGGACATCCCTCTCTCCCTCCTCCTCTATACGTAGTTGACTTGATACAATGACCCAAATACCCTACTTAAAAGAAAATAGTAACAGGACTAAAACCCCTTAATTCTCTACAAGTCATATATACTGCATGATATTTAATACAATTGAAAAGACAAGATAACCCCTATTTCACTCATTAAACAAAATACAAAGTAGAAACAATTAAATCCTCATCAAATAAATCTCCTTTTGGCCCCAAATAAATAAAATAATTATTGCACTAGTCCTAGTGAAGGTCTCAATGTCCTTATCGTTGGTGATCTCTGAATTGATAAAAATCAGATCAACTTAGAATCTGTCACTTTGGGAATTCTATGCAGAAGTCCAATTCTTTAGTAGCAGGATGGTTGCTTGTATGTTAAGAGGTGTTTTCTTTGTGTGTTAACCTGTAATAGTTCAAAAGTGATAATTGGTGATTTTATTGGATTATTGGTTTTAGCTTAATGGATGTGGGGTTTGCCTTTTGTTATTTCATCAGTTCTTTGTTCCTATATACATTCTTGGTTATGTTGTAGCAATTATATTATTATTTCTTGCATAGGCCATCATATGAATCTGCATTAAATCTTTGATACATCTGGACTTTCTCTTGTAACTTGAATGATTACAGGCCGCTGTTAGCAAGTAGCTTGCTGAGCGTAATACGTACTCTTTTGGACCAAACAAGACAGGATGACATGCGTGTTCTAGGATGCCAAACTCTTGTTGACTTCGTCAATAATCAGGTCTTTCTTTTCACTCATGCTGTATGGGTTATGTGATAAGATTTCGAACTTTTCATGGAGATGGAACATTGCCGTTCGAGGCTACTATATTTTGGCCTTATAAGGCCTTTGAAGTTCACTTCGATGCTTTGCGATGTTATCAGATGGATGGAACTTATATGTTCAACTTGGAAAGTTTTGTACCAAAGCTCTGCCAGCTAGCTCAAGAAATGGGGGAGGATGACAGAGGCTGCATTCTTCGATCGTTTGGTCTGCAAGCCCTTTCTTCGATGGTATGTATTCTCTAAATTTCAGCAATGCTTCATTGAAGTAGTTTTTAATAATATTTTTCACATGCTCTGATTTCCCAAAACCATGAATAATATCACAAAGAGTGAATGGTTTGTTTGTTCATTGCAATAACAACTAGTGCTCCAATTAGATGACTCTCTTTTTTAAGTTATTTGATAACTTAATGCAGCAATGTAACATGTAAGAACATGAAACTTCTCAACATATGTTGACACATGTTTATGTATATTTATTTAATATATATGCATGTATTTGCACACTTTTGTCGCTCTGTTTATGCTCTGACATGCATTTATGTATGTGTGGTTTTGGGATATGTGCTTATATGTTTGTGTATATGTGCACGTAAAGTCCCTTCACTTAAACCGGGGCTTTAAAAAATGCCAATCAGGAGTGGGACTAGTCCGTTTCCCACTATATATTGGGAACCAGCCGATTCTGTCAAGGAATTGGCCAATCCGGCCCCACCTTATATTTTCTATTTTTTTCAATTTTTGTTTTGTTTCCTTTTTTTATTTATTAGTCGATTCACACAGCCGGATCGTCTTTCCGGACTGCCAATCTGCCGATCTGGACCCATTTTCAAATGGGAAATTTGGGTCATCAATCAATTTTTCTAAACACTGACTCAAGCCATTGCGCATAGATTCATGCATCTCTAGAACTGCTTTGGATTTGGATTGGACTCGGCATGTGGCTGAGCGAAGTAAAATCAGGACCTAGAGGGTCACCGATGTGACTCGGAATATATCGACATAGGAGCAAAATCAAAGTACATCCACACGAAACCACAAGAGCTCATACAGGAAAGCAAAACATTGCAACTCCTCCCTGTGGGGGTTCATTGGCTTCCATTTGTTTCAAAAGACACTAAACACAAATCTCAAGTCTCCTATGTTAGGTGTTAAATGGGGTCAAATTAGGGACTGTACCAGTGCTCCTTGACCTGCGCTGTGGCCCAACTAACCTTACTAGGCTGGGTGAGTTGTTTGGCCTTTTTTTAAAAAAAAATTTATCTGTTTGATTAACATAATAACTTAACAGATTTTGTTAGCTTACTCTTAACGGCTTAAAATAGATAAGAAACAAATTAAAAGAATAACATATTGAGATATAATGACAACATAAATAAGAAAAGAATAATGCTATTTGTGTGTAGTTCTTGCTTAAAAATTTGTTAGCTTACTCCGAAGAACCACGTCATTCCTCAAGTTGTGGTTCTTGCCTCAAAATTTTCTCATTACATATGGGATTGGTACCTAGAGTCGATGTGGAGCTCGATTTATTCCTGGGGGAGATTTGATCTATGGGACTGTTAGTACCCTCTTTTTTAATTTGTTGAGAATCGATTTCTATTATTTGTGGTAATATTTTCTTGATCGAAGGGGTGGGCTTTGATGGCATCGTGATGAATGGATCTTCTGAAACTCTAACATCAATGATGTAAAAGAAAGAGGGAGAAAGAAAATAATTTAAAAAATTTAAAATAAAAATAAAGAGGGTGAGAATATATCCTCTCTTAGGGTGTACAAGGGAGTTCACTCAAAAGTTTTATCGCAAGATATGAAATAAGTTCTTCTCTATCCATGTTTCTTGTCCAGTAGTAAATTATTTGTATAAAAACACTAGATAACCTAACTTCCTCCTTAACAAAACCTAATCAATTAAAACTGTTCTATGGAACTTGCCTGAGTCCACTTGGACTCGGGCACGTAACTCGGCCTCGCCCCAAATTTTGTACAACTCGTGGTACATAAAAAAATTTAAAAAATCCATATATGGGTAAAAGATATGGGAATATTGTATAAAGTTTTTGTATATAATTTGGATGATTGGTTGCTGGTGAGTGTTTTTTGCCATAATTCCTATTTTTATATTTTCCTTTTTTTCTATTTTTGAATGTCCCGAATTGTAAATCAATTTTTAAATCCATTTTCTATACATTTTTTACCTTATTTGGAGTTTTTAAATCTGCTTTTGGTTTTGCTTTACTTTTACTACCTTTATTTTATTTTCCATATATATATTTTTAATTTGGCCCTATGCTAGACTCCGGCAAGTAAATCGGACTCGCCCGAGTCACTTGCCTCGGCCAAGGTCTGAGTACCTTGGTCGAGGCAAGCCCTTAACATCGTTTTAAAAATTGAACCTCCAACTCTACCCTTCAAGTCTCTACAATTAAAAAAATGTCATAAATAGCCTAACCTAAATAAATAAAAGAACATATGATCTAAACCTAAATTTAGTATAAAAAATAGTAAAATAAAAAAATAAAAAATATATTACATTAGTTGTATCAATAGCAAAGCTAGAGCTGAAAGTGTCATTTACTTATACTCCACTGAAAGGTGAGATGTTTGTTGAAATGATGATGACATTTTTGCTAGGATTTAGAAGCATTACTTCCATTTGATTGTGTGGGCAAATATTCTATGTGCATCGAAAGCCCAAGGGAAGATCTTGCAAATGCATAACTGAAAGTGGACAGATTATAGTCACTCAGTTGATCACTGGAATTTTCACGTCAATCTAGCAGGTTAAATATTTGATTTTCAGAAATTTGGAGAGGATTTTATATTTTAGAAAATAATTTCAAAATTGGAACAAGAAATTGAATAGAGAATTTTGTCACTGACTAAAGGGATATCTCGTTTATCTAATTTGAACTAAAATGATTTGCTTAGTTTGAGGGAAAGATGGTTTGTAATATTTATATTTATTATTTTTTAACTTGTTTCTTATTTATGTTTAGTTTATAAAAATTAATGCATTATTCTTTTAATTTGTTTCTTACTCTTCTTAAATTGTTAAGAGTTCCTTAAAAAATTTGCTAAGTGATTATACTTTTTAAACATTTAAATCTTTATTTTGTATAGGACTACCTTCTTGGTAAGTCTATTTTCGGCAAGAGGCTCATCTGTGGGTTTCCTCTATGCTTGATGTACTCCTCCTCTACTTCAATACAGTTAACAATTATCACAAAAAAAAAAAAAGTTATGTGAGCATTGGAAACCTTGGGGTTAGATATCAATGAGATATTCATCAAGCGTAGAGGAAACCCACAGATGAGCCTCTTGCCAAAAATAGACTTACCAAGAAGGTAGTCCTATACAAAAAATGGGCTAATATAAGTACAAAAACCCCAACATAATAGAAAGAAAGGCATGTACAAAAATCCCCGCCACTCATGGTCACTAGTCAGAATATAGTGCTCCATCGTTAGCCGGCTGATCCGCCATGGCGTTGGACTCCCTCAAGGTATGCCTCCATGAGATAGTGATATCCCTTCAAATGTGAGTAATCTCATAAAAAATCATGGCGAGGTACCAAGGGCAAGGTGAGTAGGTGGAGGCCCATGTGATGATGCTCAGTGCATCTCCTTCGATGATCAGGGGTTGACCCCATGAAGGATAAAAAAGTCAGAGTACAGACAGAAGAGTCGTAGACTCAGCAAGTTGTGAGTCTGCATGGTCAATGTTCTTGGAGAAGGACAAGAGAATATTCTCGAGGTGGTCACAAAAGGCTCCACCCACACCTATCGGGCCGGGTTTTTCGAGTTAGCATCTGTCAAAATTGAGTTTGGTCTGGCCTTCGGGGGGAGGGGACCAAACACCAGATTGAGACTGGTTAGGGGTGTGGTTGTAGATAAGATGCTTCCATTGGAGCAGGAACGTCGAGGTGGGTTTTTCTTTAAAACATTTGTGGTTTGTTGCCCAGAAGATGACTGCGGCAGTTATCTTATGGAAGAGGGCCGGCACCTCAGTTTTGGCCCCAAAATTCTAGAGTTTCTCTCTGTCCAAATGACCCAAATAAGTGCTTCTATGGATGCCTTCCACAGTGTCCTGCCTACTTTGGGCCATGGGGTTTCGAGGGGGAGATGGTAAAGGGCCGGGACACAGGGAGGGGTAACCTAGTTGAAGCCGAAGAGTTGGATCCACCTAAAATTGGCACACCCGATCACATGAGAAGTGATACGGCTGATCTTGACCAGAATATCATTGAAGTTTGATGGACATCCGAGAGAGACACTGTCCCCTTTGGCGGAGTTTAATTAAAGCTGACAATCTTTTAGTTCCAACTCTGTAATTGGTACAACTGCTATTAAAGTTTCCTCCTAAACTCTCTGGTGCATCACCCAAGTTCTTGCAGCATCCTTATTGCACTTCAATTTCACTCACTCTGCACCCAATCTTGTCATTTAAATTCTTATAACAACTAGTAAGGAGCTCTTGACTATGAAGCTTAGGAAACTCTCCCGTATTCATGGAAATATATATCATTATTTTTGTGGCCTATAGGAGCACCTGATGAGATCTTCTGATCCCCTTCTGCTGCTCCATTTGCACATGGATTGCTCTTTTTTAGAAAATATTTATGAGTTTAGTATTGTATGAGAGAGCTCTAAATACGTAGCACCCAGAGTCTGGTTTAAAGGACACAACTGCCAAGTTTCCTTATCCTCTTGGAATTGGGTCAAGGAAAAAATAACTTCCATCCTAAACTTTGTTGTATTCTTGTATATGGATTGAATTAGGTAGAAACATACAATGTTAAGGGTTTTTGTGGATAGTTAATTAGACAAGGTCACTAGGGCTCGTGGCTCCTTGGGTTGAGGCTCCCTAATCTTTAAAATGAGTCTTGCAATGTGCTGAAAAATATCTGGGTGAAATTTTATGCCCTCCAGAAGGAGACTATCAATATCTATAGACATTTTACCATAAAATTTATGGAATTAGCATCTTATATGAACTCAAATTATGGATCTCTTCATCAACTCTCATGGAAAAGTTAGTAGTGGGTGAGATCTATGACAGTAGCAAAAGAAGCACAACATGTGATTAGATTGTGCGACATAGAGGAGGGAAGGAGGGAGGAAGGGGGGTTGGGGAGGGGGAGTGGGGAGGGGGAGGAGGGAGAGAGGGAGGGAGGGAGGGAGGGAGGGAGGGGAAGCTAGAGAGAGCTTTCTGAAAGGAGAGACTGATCATGGAATTTTTGCTGTTTCCTTTCTTTGTGAAGAGTTCAGTTGGAATTTAAGTTTTGCAAAGGAGGCTGGAAAGCAAGAGGAGTATTAATGCCATGTCTTTAACTATTTTGCTGGGAGCCCCTGTTTGCTGACTAGCACAAGTCACGAAGTTGTAATAAGATCTTGGGAAGTCTTCATATGAATCAACCAATTAATCATTGCATCTGAGTTTTCATATTTATTAAGCCATTGTGATTCGGGTCCATTTAGCTGATTCCAAGATAAGTTGGATGAATCAGCACACAATGCTGTGGAGTACATTTATCATTTTGTGTGTGTGTTGATTCTGCCTTAGAGCCTTGAATTTTTTAGCTTCTATGATGCTCAAGTTTTTTATTTCAAGAAATCCTAGTTACATAGATTAATTGTCTTAAAACACCATAAAATTGGGTTAATCATCAAATGTAGGAACAGAAACTGACCAAGAAGCTCACGCAACTGTATGCTCTTTGGAAAACATAAGGGCATTTTTGGTAATTTTAAAATTAACAGTTGTTTAATGTTAAGCTCCTTATGACTTGACCATGTTGACATTATAAAACCTCATTGAATACTTTAAAGGTTTGTGTTACTGTATTATCCATTGGAAGACATCTAAAGACACTGGACAATTGGCTTCTTTTTTTTGTTAACCTCCATATGACTTGGCCATGTTGACATTATAAAACCTCATTGAATACTTTAAAGCTTTATGTTACTGTATTACCCATTGGAAGACATCTCTTTTCAATGTGCTAAAGACGCTGGACAATTGGCTTTTTTTACCCCTCTTTTTTATTTCTCATCCTTTTCCTTTGCATGTAAATGTTTTATTTTCTTACCTTCATTGTTAATCTTATTTAATAGAGCAGACTGATGGACCAGGATTCATGTGACCCCAAATAATTGGGAAAAGGCTATGATGATTATAATGATGATTGTTAATGGTATCTTGTGGTTTGTGTTCCTTTACAGGTTTGGTTTATGGGAGAATACTCACATATTTCTGCAGAATTTGATGAGGTTAGCAAATTATGATTCTTGGATCTTTTCAAATGTGTGCAGTTTCATCCTGGATAATCTATTGGCTATACTGACTACCTGTTTACATGCAATCTTCCCCTTTTTTCTACACAAAGAATTGTCACATGATTCCTGAGACCAGCTTCTTGACATGTCCAATAGCTACATCCAATGG